ACAAAGCAAAACTCCAAACAGCAGTGCCCTTTGTTCATTTCTGAAGCCATGTTCTATGTGGCATGGAGGAGGATACAGTGAGTTGGAGGTGAATAGTCTGGCAAAGGACAATATCTTGTATTATTATTATTATTTTTTGACTCACCTGGAAGCCTGGAGGACCAGCAGGACCCTGTTCACCTTTGCCACCTTGGACACCCTGAAAGTGACAGGACAGAGAGCATAAGTATGAATCTGCCACAATTGCTGTGTAGGTACCTATACAACATTTGGGCTGAAGAATGGAGGTGGCTGTTCTGAAGGACATGGTACCTTACAGGTGGAAAGGCACAGGAGTGGCAGAAATACTCACCTGGGGTCCAGGAGGCCCCTGAGCACCATTATTGCCATCAGGGCCTGGAGCACCCTAAAAACATTCAACAGAAAGGCTGGCGGTTACATGCAAGCCCCGCTTCAAAGCATCTTTTAACATTAATTCCTCAGCACAAGTGTGTCATTGTAGGATGAATTAAACTCATTTTGGGTTTTGGTAAGGCCTGAAACTGCCTACTAACTTAGGATATGGGTTCAGGAAAGTCCACAGGTGGAAGCAATTTCTAAAGGCCAGAGAATACTATTATACATTCATACCTTTTCAAATCACATGATGAATAAATTAAAGGCAATGCTGTGGCAGTATCTTTGTCTTAACATATATTCTGATTTGTTATAGCTCATTGCCTTACCTGTGTGAATAACAAAACCAACAACAATAGGAAAAGAGGTTTTACCATGGTAAAAGAACCCTTGGGAAGCCATCTTGGAAAGAAAACGATAGAATGATATTTCATAGCCCAAAGGATGTGTACGTTTTGGGGGACTACTATGCAAATAGATTTCTACAGAAGTTTGCACCTACCCGAGCACCAGCAAGACCGGGATGACCTTTATCACCATTTTTGCCAGGATCACCCTGTAATAAAAATTAAAAACAAAACAAAACAAAAAGAATATTAGACATTTAATGTCTAATTAGCCGGGGCAATTTTGAATTGTTGACTTCTTGCTTGCTTGTGTTTTTCTGAGCTTTCTAGTCTTTGAGTTTGATTATCTGAGGCTTGATCCATCATCAAGCAGCTCCATACTGTAGAAGAGGCCCCTGTTCCTGCACAGGCACAGATCCAGGAGGTGGGTTTTCATACGCTAAAGGTAAATCTTCAATGTGGTAAAGGCCTGTAGTTTCCCTAGGACCTCTTCCGTCCCCTATCCACTTTGAGGCAGATTGGCTGAGAGACAGGAGAGAAATACTGGAGTTTTGATGAAATGTAGGAAACAAGTACTGAGGGAGAAGTTGTGGTGATTCTTACAGTGGGGCCTTTGGGTCCAGGGAATCCAATGTTGCCAGCCTCGCCTCTTGTTCCAGCTGGGCCGATTGGACCAGGCCTTCCGTCGATACCAGGAAGACCCTGAAACCAGAGTTTAAAGTTTACTCAGGATCCACATGGTCTCCAACCTCGAGCTTCTGATGCTGCTACAGGATGAATGAGAATAGTTTTCTGAATGCACAGAGCTTCCCACATAAAGTGTCAATAAATTATGAATCCATTTTCCTTTTCTAAATAGGATGTCAGTACACACACAGCCAATTCAATCTCATATGTAGGCAATTTCCCTGTCCCCCTCTCTTTCCATACCCTTGTCACCTGTTTCAATTTTCCCTGCCATGGTTTTCTTTTTCCCTTCTCTGCTTTCAGTCCTGTGTTCATTTGGACTCCATAATTACAATCTATTACTTTGCATTCCCAGATGATGTAGGTGGCTGATATTTATTTTCAACGTATTCATGTACAAATAAGCCACAGAATAGACTTAATAAGGGTGCAATGAGTGTCCTTGAAAATATAATGGAAAATGAGCAATACTTACCACAGGACCTTCTTTACCAGCTGGGCCAACATTTCCAGGGGATCCAGGAAGACCCTATAAAGCAAATGAGGATGCTTTCATATTGGTACTTTGACTCACATACTACAGGCACAAATTAATTGAAATCTCACAAAAGCACTTTTATGTTTGTTGCCTAGGGTAAATCATTAGGGATACTAGCCACTAGCTGGGAGGTGTCAAAAGAGCTCTGAAAATTTTCTTCTGTTTTTGTCTCTTTTTCCTTTACTGAATTTTAGTGCAACTGATCCATTTACAAATATCACAAGAAACTGTTAAACAACATGCTATACTGGCAAAATGTATCCTGCTATTCACCTTGTAATAGAAAAACTAATACTTTTAGTAAGCAATTTCCAAAGTGGATTTTTTTATTGCTATATTTGGTGTTCCCATTACTTGTTTATGGTACAATTACAGTTGATATTCACCCATAAGAGATAATAGAGCAAAAAAATTACTCTATTGCTATGGATTAGAGTGTCTACGGATCTAAAGGTCATTTTTCCATAGCTAGTATGATACTGAATACATTATAGCACTTTCAGATTGCTAGAAAAATGATTTTACTTATGAATCTAATAAACTAATAATGTATAGCTCTAATACATTTCAGGAACCCCTTATATAAAATTCACAAATAGGGATAAAACATTCATGCCAATAGGAGAAACAACATAATTTGGATATATTAAAATAGATATATTCTTCCAAAAATCTCATAGCCATTGTATCAAATAATAAATAAGACATTTATGAACTAATCAAATGCATAAAAATATCTGCCAAGCTTTGATAAAATTAAATTAAAAAGGCATTGTCAGAAAGTTCACTAACAAATTGCTTTAGATTTTTTAAATTGTTTTCTTCAATATTAACTAACCCTTTCAAGAAAGAAACAGTGCCAGACATGATTTGCTCAGAATTGATCTGAAACTTACCCGGGGTCCCATGAGACCAGGTTCCCCAGGGCGACCAGAATCTCCACTGGGGCCTCGGACTCCAGCAGGGCCAGTTGAACCACGATTACCAGGAGGACCCTAATACAAAGAAAGGGATGGATGAGGAGGACACTAATGCTTATGATCCAACCAGCACCAGAAGTGTCAAACTCCTTCCCAGGAAATGAATGATGGACAGCTTACCATGACACCAGCTCTACCATCAGCTCCAGGAAGACCACGAGAACCAGGACTACCCTACAAGAAAGCACATGAAACAGAAGGGAATTAGAAAAAAAACCTGAATCTGATAAGGCAGAGTTTATTAAAACATGGCACAACACCCTTAGGAGGAGATACAGACAGAAACCAAGCCAAAACACTTCACCCAAATCCCAAAGGATGAGTATCTTGCAAAAGTAGGTCAATATTGTTTTCAGACTAATTTTATAACATACCAAATTGAGAGCCACTGATTAAATAAAACAGATGGAAAGCAGATGCTTCTTTCATCTGGAAAATGCTCTCAGTAATTTTGACCAGTTCCCAATGAAGGGGTATTATCATCTGCCTCTGGCGTGTCTGGGTGTTGGAGCACTTGGAACCTACTCTCAGCCCAGGAGGTCCTGCAGGGCCAGCAGATCCAGGTTCACCCGTGGAACCTCTCTTTCCTTCTTCACCACTGGGACCAGGAGGACCTTGAGGCCCAGAAGAGCCCTATTTAATGAGAAGAAAAAAAGAGGGGAGTAGAAAAATAATTTTTATATGACACCCACCAATTGAAACTAGATTGAAAGGATAATAAGTCTACAAAATTGTGATTATAGAGCTACTTACAGGTTCACCCTTGCTACCAGTCTCTCCTTTAGAGCCAGCTGGACCAGGTTCACCCTAAGATCCAACACAAAACAGTTGTCAAATGAGAAACACTTGTTAAAACTCTTGCAGACAAATCTTTTGGAATATGTATGGGTTGAGGTAAAGAGAAGATCAAGTTCTCTAAGAAATGCTCTCAGTTCATATCTAAATGGCCGTCAGGGGGATGATGGTGAATGGATAAAACTTATTGCAGAAGTTTGCCTCAGCTATCTTTGCATAAGCTTGTAAGATACCAGAAGGTGCATGTCTGTGTACATGTGAGGAGGATAGAATGTATGTGCATGTACATGCAGTTATATAAGTCATAGTACCTAAAAAGTACTAAGAAGGGGAGAAGAGGAAAAACACAATTATAAGAAAAAAGTCCAGATAGTGTTGAAATGATGGTAAAGCCAGTATTTTAGCAAGATGAAAGTCACAGCTATGACTACTTACAACAAGTCCTCTGGCACCCGTGGCACCAGCAGCACCAACAGGACCAGGGATACCACGGGGACCAGGGAGGCCAGGAGCTCCAGCAACACCAGGAAGGCCCTATGGGAGAACAAAGCAAGGTCCATCATGAAGTGGTGGGGTGTAAAGGCAGCACTCACTAAGCGTGTTTAAATATGTAGCAGCACATTTTGGCTACCCAGACACACTTACAGCAGCACCCTTAGAACCAGCCAGGCCATTTGCTCCAGGGTTGCCCTTTGAGGAAAAGAAAAGAAGAAAGATATCACCTAATTTGACTTTTCTGGTCTTTGACCCCATCTTCATTCTTCTATTCAATAAAGATAATGACTACGGCTACTTACGGGGGGGCCAACAGGCCCAGAAAGACCTGGAAGACCCACTTCACCACGGGGACCCGCAGGACCAGAAGCACCAGGGTTACCAACAGGTCCAAGTTCACCCTAAAAGAGGAAATGACACTGAGGAGTTAGGAAACAGCAAATCTCTGTCATTAGGACATCAAATTTTAGAAAACTTCTTCAGAATTGCAATCATTTACCTTGCCTGGTTTATTATTAAATGGCTTCCTAGCCTACCTTTATCATTTAGGCTCCTTTCACTCTCCTTTTGTCTCTCTATCCTGACTAGTTTGAGACCATTTTATAAGGGCTAAAGAGAATCAGTTTCATGTTGCCAGTTATATGTATGCTTACAGTAGGCAAGTGCAGAGAAATGATCTATTTCAAACTTGGGTGAGAAAGCTGGTCATTCTATATCCATTTTGAAGGGAGGGAGTAATTAAGGTAACTGTTCTGCAATTATCTCTCTTCTTACAGACACAGTAGTTTTGCTCTTTGGCATCACAGTAAAAAGTTTATCAAGGTAGTGCCAACAACCACTAATGTTGTTTACCTTGGGACCAGGTGCACCTGGGAAGCCTGGAGGGCCAGCAGAGCCAATGGGACCCTAGAATCAAAGCAGAAGGTGTAAGAAATTTCCTGTAAGTAAAATAAGAAAGCAACAATGACACAACAACAAGAACTGAAAAAGAATGAAGTAGTTTAGGGTGTCTTGACCTTATTTGATATTGGCAAAGAAGAAATTGACAGCTAGTCTATGGAGGTGAGGTCTCAAGGGCAGACAGTCAAGGTATCCAGTGAAGGATGGATTTTACTTTATTGATTAATTAATAGCTCCAGGTATTTATAAATAGCTTATACTACTTATAAATGGAATCTTTGAAAGATCTCATAGGACATTTGGTAAAGTGTCTGGAATGATGTTATTTCACAGGAATTTAATGAATAAGATAGCTCCCATCCACTCTTCCAACCCTTGAAAACTCTCCAGTGGTCAAAACTTACAGCAGGACCCACGGGACCAACACTGCCATCACTGCCACGGGCACCCTATGAAGAAGATAAAGAGGAATTGTCAAGTGGAAAGTTAAACTCAGTCATTAGAAGACACTTTGACAGGATGAAAAGAAACAAAAACCAGTACACTTACAGTTGGCCCAGGGGCACCAACACGTCCTCTTTCACCAGGAAGCCCACGGGCTCCCTAGAAGCAGAAATATTTTTAATAAAATCCAGAATAATAATTTAAAAAAGTCATAGACAGCATTTGCTTTGTCCAATTTCCAACATATGCAAGAATCCACTAAAAATAAATAAGTCTTGTTCTAATACCAAGTCAAAGGTTATGGATTCCAATGAAATATGCAGAAGACTATTAAGAAATATCAAAGATATTGATATTTGAGGGAAATGGTAATTAGCAAAAACATTAAAGAAGTTGTAGCTTAGGGTGGGGTTGTAGCTCAGTGGTTGAGTATTTGCCTAGCATGCACAAGACTCTGGATTCAATCCTCCCTCCCCTGAAAAAGAAGCTCTAACTTACGAAGAGTGTATACATTTAGATTTGCAATAAAGCAACCAATACTTACTGATTGACCTGGAGTTCCATTTTCACCAGGGGCTCCAGGTTCACCCTACATGAAGAAGAAAAATTGAGTTTTCTTCATTATACATATCATTTATTTTATGATTGCACAATTTTTACCCTATTATTTCAGTTAGAATCATTCATATATTTTGTAGCATTTCTTATACCTACAAACTGTTTCTCAATTACCTCAGATACATAAATTTTAAAAAATTGCCAAAATAGGAGTTTTATTTAAATACACCAAATGTCAAGAGTCTAAGGAGATGTTACTTGACTGTACTCTCTCTCACTTTCTAATTTCCTCATTATATTCTGGACATAATTTAGATTAGGCTTATGTATTAGGAATGCTATGAAAAGAGACAGCAAAGAATAAATTTGATTTTAGTATGAACATATTTATCCTCTTCAAAGTTATTTTGAACACTTAATATTCTCATTTTTATAAAGCTTTCATGACAAATTGAGGCTTCACAATATTTTTATAGCTGTCATACTTATTTCCAATCTATATTCTTATCCTGAGTAAAAACCCTGGTGGCAGTATAGTGGTAAGGTGATTTAATATTGTAGCACACGTAAAAGAACTTTCCTTCATGATAATTTGATTTAGATCTAGAAGAACCATGGCTTATGAGACCATGTAAGGACCCTCATTTCTAGCACTCTCTGTGAAGTATGTTCTCTGGGAATAAGAACTGGAAGGGGGCAAGGGGATTTCTAGCCTACACCCTTCCAACCACTAATGTGTGACTTTGGGCAAGTCACCAGCTCTTCCTAAGCCTCAGTTTCCCCATCTGTGAAATGAGGGAACCTCCAAAGCTCCTTTCGGTCCTAACACTTTATGATACTGTGATTAGTAGTCTGAGTGGTGATATTGGGCTCTTGGGAGAATGAGTTTGACCTTATCCATTTGTGTGGCAGCTGGAAAGTTAGAACAGATTCTTCACATTCACGTTCATTTCTGGTCCCGCTAGTATTCGTTACTCATTAATTTGTAATTACGTTGGTATTCACTTTAATATCACATTATCTCCTTAATAGGAAAGAGAACATTTTATAGTTGAAAATGCTGTCAGAGAAGAGCCTAGCCAAGAGATAACACACTTCTGAGACTTTAATTACCTAATTAAAAATTTTTTGAGTGTGCACAGATAAATCACAGGAAAGAGGTTGAAAAGTGTATTGTGACATGAATGTACCTATCTAATTAGTGCATGGCAAAGGAGAATTTACAGTTTTAAGTAACACATAGTGTTTTAATATCTGATTATATGTTTATTTACTTTTATTTTGGCTGCAGAGATCGATTGAAATTACAGGAGGAGAAAAGGAAATGGAGGAAGACACTATTGATGTTATTTTTGTCTCAATTGTTTAATATTGTTAAAATATTGGTAATTAGCCTTTTGTCATAGAATCTCATAGTTCCCATCATAAAGGGATTTGAAGAAGAAACAAGACACTCTTTAGTAAAAATGTGTATTTGGTGGTGATGGGGAATTTTAATCAGTTGTTCAGAAACAATGCTTGAAACGCATCATTTACCTTCACACCTGGAGCACCAGGTTGTCCTTTCAGTCCATCCGGACCATTGTGTCCCTGAAAGGAAAAGGTTGTCATGAAAATCTTGTTCCACTACAGTGCTTGGTCAAACTGAAATCTATCTTTGCCATTACTATCTCCTGAGTGTTTCCTGTGACTGCTGCACTAGAGTGGAGTCCAGTTCTAGTTTCAGGTGAGCTGGCTCATCATCCCAGGTAAGTAACCTCACATCCTTGTGCTTGGGAAGGATGCCAGACTAGATACTCTTTCACATCCTTGCTGTATTTAATAATTTTATGAGTTTCACATGGTTGTAGAACCCATGAAGTAACACATATTCTATACAATTTTCTCTGTAGCAATCTTACTTCTTGGGAGATATGAACAGATTGAAAAAGTGATGCCCCATTTTATTTTCAAGTAATCTTACCTGAACTCATCGTCCCCTTTGGCAAACAACAGGAATGTGGGAGCCAGGATGTGTCAGCCAAGAGTTTAAATACCAGAAGTTGTTTTCCCACACAAAAAATAATCATGTAAGTAAAGAATGTACTCACCCGAATGCCCTTGAAGCCAGGAAGTCCTGGGGTCCCAGGGAAACCACGGGCACCCTTAGAAAGAAATGCAGAAAAAAATGAATAATGCTTTGCCATCAATAAAACAACAACCATTTATTCATTTCAAAGTAACTCTTCTCAACACAGTTTGAGCTTGGAATCAAAGACTAGTATATTTTTAAGCACACAGCCACAAATAAGTCTAATGTGAATAAGTAAGACTATGGTATTCATAAGAAACACAATTTAGCTGCTTATAGTATGTTTGCTGTCACCAATATTACATTATTTGCATAAATAAAATAAATGCATTCTTTCCTAGGTTTTTTAATTTGTCAGATACCTTCAATCAGTATTATAAGTTTACATCTTGTACATCTTGGTACCACATCTACAAGTAGCATCACATCTATGTCACCATTTGGATACATGCTTGCTTTAGCAACTCTCTTATATCTGAGAGGCCTCTAATATTTGGACTACATACTGTTGTAAACAGTCTCACCTGTGGTCCAACAACTCCTCTCTCACCAGGTCGTCCAGGTTTTCCAGGGTGACCCTAAAACATGAAAACATTGTAGGGTCAACCTCCATTTGATAAATTATCAGACAAAAGTGGAAGCATCTTGGTTTTCACAATATAAGATAAAGGTTTACATAAAAATATAGACCCCAACACATATTTAATTAATAGCTTCATTTCCCTAAGTACAAGCAAGTTAATATTTCATTAAAACTATCATTTTTACCATATGGGGAGAGTTATGTCAGGCATTTTCAACTTTTGGCACAATACTTAATGTGGATCTAGAAACTTTTTGAGGAGGAGTATTTAGGTGATGTTTTGGAAAAGCTCACTTACATCCTCACCAGCCTTGCCAGGAGCACCAGGTGGACCACGAGCACCTGCAGGGCCCTAAGAAAATGGGAGACCCATCATTTGGTTAAGATTATGTTTGTAAACTTCTTGAAAAAAGACATTTATCACAAAGGAAGAAAAGTACTCACGGTTTGACCAGGCTCACCAGGCTCACCAGCAGGTCCTTGGAAACCTTGAGGGCCCTAAGAGAATGAAGAAAAAAAAAAGTTCCATTCTAAGCCTACAGTTGTATTTCAATTTTTTTTTGGTTAGTGCTGGGAATTGAACTTAAGTCCTTGCACATGCTATGTAAATACCCTACCACAGAGCTACATTCCCAACCCAAGCCTTTATTTTTTAATTCTCTCTCTTTTTACATAAGGGAGATTATAAATTTTCGGTACTTACAGGAGCTCCAGCAGCACCAGGAGGGCCTCTGGGTCCCATTAAACCCTGTAAAATGGACAGATGTGGTTAGCACTAAGAAGTTTGTTAAAGCCTTGGTTGGGGTTAGATAAGGTGGGTTGGGTAAATTGGAGTTAGATAAAACACTACTGTGCCATACACATTTTGTGACTAACAGAGGAACAGGACTGTCTTGGTTTTATTACCTAGTTTTTGTCCCTTTGAGATAAACATTTAAGAACCCAAGTTCCCCCCACTATGCCTCTCCCTTTGCTTTTCCTTTTTCTCAACTAAATCAGCAAAACTCAGTGAGATTTGGATATGGTGGTCCTAATTTCCTCAAGATCGCACACCATTGGGCATAGTGAGGTTATTCTAATGCACTGGAGTGAATTGGTCTTTGCGCAAGTATAGAATACACAATTGCTTTCTTTGCAGCAGACAACGCATTTCATTTGGATTCTCTTGACCATATGTTATCTGTCCATGTCATGTTTAGCTAAGAAATTGATATTTTTATTGCCACAAGGGGCATAAATTGAAAAGGATCAAAAGTCCTTTTAAATGATCAGAGGGAGGGTTTGTTATAAACTTAGAGTTCCTTTAAGGGCTGTTGGTGACTGATAAAAATGTCAAACAAAAGTAGATGTAATGAGCGATGAAAGAAATATCAAATATTATTGAAACAGCTTTCTGGAAGAGCCTATCGTATGATATTATTATTGAAACTATGGCCCAAATGACAGCAGATTGTTTCCCCCTTTGTTCTTTGTTCTGGAACACAAAAGTAAGACAAAACAAAATGTTACCAGCTTGTGAGCTAAATACACACTTGTGACTCCCCTCCACAATAATCAATACCCTCATAAGCTTATCTGGCAAGCCTATTCCTCATAATGCTGAAAATATTTCACATGCACATCTTGAGCGATTTGTTCATGACACATCAAGAGTGAAGACTGCAGCCATGACTACTCCACTGTATTAATGCCTATAGTGAGACACTATGGATTTCATTTAAAATGCGTATCATTTTAATTGTAAGAATTATTTATTCGGGTTTAGAAATTACTTCAACATTAAAAGAAGCTGTCACTTTTCAATAAAAATAATTTTTAGCCATACGTAAAAACTAATTTTCTTTGACATGCATTTTTAATTATGTTTGTTCATTTTTCCACGTATTTGAAACAATTTCATTTACATAAAAGGTAGTTTATTTTGTGGAGGCTGTGAGATGAACTATGATGACTCATTAATTCAGAAAAAGACCCTGTGGGGTTTTGTAGTTATTGATTTTCCAATATGGAAAATTATTCTAATATTGCTGTCTATCTTCTCAATTTGTGAAACACGTATCTGTTGATTGCATAGGTCTGTGCATGAGTTTGGATGCGTAAGCTTAAATTATATTTCACTGATATTTAAAAGTAAAATACTTCATGCCCCCCGGAGAGAGGCTCCACAGACAGGGGAATCTGAAATCCATATTAATTTTCTCAGCCTATGCCTGCCTTTTAAAGAAATGACATTTACTAGTCCTTTCTTTCATTTCCCTCTTTGCCTCTTCTTGAGAAATAGGTACTGCTTTACAACTGAGTAATGTCCAGCATTAGCAGAACAGCTAATTTAAAATATCCAATATAAACAAAGCCAAAAGAAACTCTGCAATTTTTCATTCCAGATATGAACACTTTAAATTACTAGGAAAAATCAGGAAATTGGAAACCATCAATTAAAGGCACATTACTTCACAACTGAGAGTTTTAATTTACAGAAAATATTATCTTGCCCTTATGGTGTATTAGCTTATTGCGGACCATTAGCTCCAAAAGAACATCTTTTGAAGATAGAGCACTGAATGCGCGGCCCAGGTAAAATTCCTATTTCAATGACCATGTTAACTCTGGGCAGATAAATGCCTCTGGAAAACAAGTAATTAGAATCATCAACTTGTATGTGGATGTGCATTAAATTCTACCGTGCTTAATCAAACTAATGTTTTTTACTTCCGGTAAATCTTTCCCTGTTTTTCATACATACTAGCTACCTTTTGCATGAATATTTCAGTTTGTTTATTCTTAACACATTTCACTAATGTTTGGTAGAAGTTCCATTTGTTCACTAGATTGTTTCCTCAGAAGCACACAGAATTTTTACAAGTTGCTACACAAATGACAGGATACGTTCTTCAATATTTGATTTGAGTGACAGAAATGCTAAATTTTACTCATATTCACTTCTATATTGATTTATAGTCAATAGACTACAAAAGGAATTTTCATCAAAACAGAGAGACATTATTTATATAGTTAACCTCTTGAAAGGAGACTCAGAATCTATCTTTTCAGTCACTGATATCTCCTCCAATGCACAATGTAGTTTGGAGTTCACTTATAAATACTTGTGACTGAATATTTTATTCAAGACTGGATACATGAGCCATGCTGCTGCTGAATATCCGACATCTTGTCTGGTGGTTAGTCCTAGTCCTATCATTAACAGCCTGCTTGACCTTGGGAAAAGGGCTTAAACTCTCTGGCTGCAGGAATAAGGGACTAGACTAGAAGTTTATTCTTTCCAACAAGTTCAGGGAACTTAATAAATTGTTCTAAGTGTTGCTTAACATTCCAGGCAGTGTTAAAAAAGGCAAAAAAAAAGATCAGAGTGTTGACATTTTGCATTAAATGGATTTGCCTAAGTTACAGTTACTACACTTATAGATTACTTCTTGAATATAAATATCTGACCTATCTTAATAAAGCATGTTTATAGAGAGAACTGAAGTCTCTAACCCAGGCTTAGGTTTTGATATATTTAAATACAGAAAGATTTGTTTTCATTTAATCTAACTATTAAGTTATAACCTAAGTAGCTAAATAAATAGCATTAAAAAACTTAACATAAATTCCCTATGCAGATTTTTTTGTCTAAGATAAAAAGTGATAAACATACCATTGGTCCAGGGCCAAGTGAAACTCCTTTTCCGTCAAACTGAGCAGCAAAGTTCTAGAGGGATTAAAAAATAAATTATATGTACATATATATTTATATATATTTACTGGTCATGCACTACTTTTTCCCATCCTACTTGTAAAGACTGTTCTGTTGCTCTTTAAAAGAGAAATTTTGATATGAGTAGCTAAATTCATAAAAAGTCTGGGTAAATATAAGTTTAAAATATAGCTTCCACTCAACCTGAAGTGGAGAGCTTCCTTATTCAGACTCTTTTATTACACTGTTAAGTCTGTCCTTCCACTCCTATCAGCTACCTCTGTAGTGGGGCAAGGCAGCGTCTCTAACTTTCAAAGCCACTGAGAGCCTCTGGTAAATGAGGAAGAGATCAGGGGGGCAATGTTGAGTGTCCCACCTGTTGCCTGTGGCCATTAGAACTGCACAAAATGAGAAAGACACTTCTTTCTTGCTGAAGTTTCAAAAAAGATATAGAGTTTTCAAGTTTACAGGAAAATTAAATTAAAATGCCTCTTGGAAGATTAAACTTTTAAAAACTAGTTCACAGTAATAACTTTACTGTTAAAGATCTCTCTTAGAGTGGTAGCTCTATTAAAGAAGGTGCTTTTTAATGCACTCAGTAGATAAGCAATCATAATAAGATCTTTGGGGGAGAAAGGTCTTACTTTACTGGCATACAGTTGGGTATTAGAATCAGGCTTCTGATTCATAATGCTAACCAATTAAGCAAATATGTTTTCCTTCCTGCAGTGAGGCCATTTGGCACGCACACCATTGTTAAAGACATAAAGCTAAAAGAAGATATTAATGAAAAAGGGAAATGTACTTTTCTCAAATTAGTTCCAAGCAAATTAAACCTAAAGCTGCTTTGAATGTTGGTTCAGCAGACTTCAAGCCAAGGAGAATAAAAAGGGTAGGATGTTTGTAAAATTGCTAAAGATCAGAGATTTCACTTATGTAATTCAATCTAATCAAACTCTTTAATAATGCAACACCTCTTATTTGTGCCTTACTGATAAAAGATATTAAATCCCCAAATTAAATAATGGTGCTGGTGGTTGAGGCTACCTTCAGAAAACACAAAGACCAGTCCTGTAATTGACAAGGGCTCACAAAGAAAACGGGCAAAGCAGAACCTTGAATGAAGAAACTAAAGAAATGAAATAAAATATACTAATTTCCAAAACAGAAGATTTTCCCATTAACTGCTAAAAATAAATCCCACAATGAGCGTTCTTTCAACATGAGTATCAGAAACTAAAGTTAGATAAAAGTTAAAAATACTTAAGACACCTTACCCCGCCAAGACCAGGGGGGCCAGGAGGACCAGGTGGACCAGGAGGGCCAGTGGGACCATCTTCACCATCTCTGCCTGGGGCGCCTGGTGGACCCTGTTATGTACAAAGTGAATTAGGGTAGGCTTAGACAGCTCACATAGAAACTTTTGTACATGTAAAAGGGATTAAGGATACATATGATATGGTCTGTTGCTCAGACTTTTCAATGTGTACAAAGGGTGAAAATTTAATATACCAAGTTTGTTATTGATTGGCACTCACTATGTCATAGTTCTATTTTAGAAGACGTTTAGTAACTGAAGTACAAAGATAACAGAGCAGTTTTCTTAGAGGACTATCTTAGCCATTGAATGTCAATTCATAATGGAATGTTAATTCATACTATGTACATTGATTATTTGTTTCTAACTTAATGAACACATTCAATAGTTTTGGTGTTGATGTGTGAATAGTAGATTAATTGATAAGGTCTTTGTATCACAGGATAAAAAATCCTACAGATTTCCTACCATTACCACTATTTATGTTAAGATAATTCACTTATATAATCTCTCTCTGATAAATTGAATAGGATATATGTAAGTCTGCACTTCATGATAGATACAAGATGTGGGTATTTATATGTTGGCAAAAATGTTATATAATATAAATAGTGAAAAATCAGCAGTTATAGTTGTCAAGTAAAGAAAGATTTAAGAATGCCACAAATAAAATATAAGCCTGACTTGTGCATGTATGAATTTACACAGAGAAACATATTACTGACTACTGTCTCACTATTATTCTCAAGTTATATAAGGGATCTTATTTCAAAAGAATTAAAATATGCTAAAAAGACCACTGTGTGGTGGCAGATACATTTCATTATGTATGCATTGGACAAGTCAATTAAAAACAAAGAAAGACAGGCCATCCAAAGAATATGGATGTCTGTCATAGTTTTTCTTTTTTTAAAGAATAGTCTTGATCTAAAAAGAATATTGATTATATATAATAATGCTTATTCATCTCTTCTGTAGGATGTTATCTATTTAAATGGTGGTACAATTACCTGGATACATAATATTCTATAAATCATCAGCCTCTTGTAGCTTCTAATATGTAGTTATTCAAATATAGGCCAAAGCCCTTCAATAGTTCAAAAATTACATACCCTTTCTCCACGTGGTCCTCTATCTCCAGTGGGGCCCTACAAGGAAGATACAAACCACACAATAATAAATGTCTAAGTAATTTGCACTGAACAAACAAACCATTCTTGATAATAATGAGTTGGTAAGACTGATCTGACTATAATGTTATTAGACAGTAGCTAAAAAACTGGCACAATACAATAGATAAAAGTGTACTGTTTTTATTATAATTATATGTAATTTTTAAAACTGGAGGACTGGAGGCTGCTATAATCTTTACTCATTAGGCCAATTTTATACATAGTATTTTTACCAAGATGATTACTGTGGATAAAATGACCTTTTTGTTACATCTTTCACAGCGTATTTATAAAGTTAAAGCCCTTTAAAATAAACTTTCATTTACTACCTATGATTAAAATAATATGCATTCTACCTCCAGAACAATAGCCTTTCTTTCTTTTAGTATGTAAATCATCAATTTGTGTAACATAAACATAATTAGGGATGATTCTGAAAGACAATAAAACTTTGTTACCTTAAACATCAAAGCTACTTTATTTTATGGTTTAGCTAATACATATTCATGTGGGCAAAATCTTGACAAAATATTTTCCTTCTATAGCTTACTTTAAGTTTCATTAGACTATAAGTTATCTATGATAGTTTCAGATATATATGGACAAATATTAGACTCTTACCTTTCTTGGAGTTCCCTGGAAGAGAATAAGTAAAAGATTATTATGAGAAGAATGGTATATTATATATATCTGTTATATATATATAATATATATTAAAAACAGTTCTTAGTTTGGTATCATATACAAATATACCTACAGATTACATTATATTGCCTATTTACTATTATGTTACTCTAATGTTTCAAAACAGTATAAAAATTTACCAATAAGTTACATAAGAATTGTTATGTGCAAAACCAAATATATATATATATATATATGTACTTATCTGTAGTTATGCTGTAAATTCAGGTCATGAACTAAGATCATGAACTAAGTTGATAATAGTTTTGCAAATGATTTTAAGAGAGTAACAAAATTCTGTAGCTCAGTGAAGTCTTGTGATTCATAATAGCTCATGTTAAAACCCAAAGCTCTCATGACTTATTTACTCCCTACTTCCTACGGGTGTTTTATGAGGCCAGCCGTAGCACCACCCATTATGGAAAATGGGTGGATGCTTTCTATGGCAGCCAGAAAGGGACTGACTGACATAGCCCTATTCTTGGGAAGCCAGGTTGGTCACATTCCTTCCCCAAAAAAGGTACCAGAGTGATCAAGGAAATCAAAGTATAAATTCATTTTCCAAAAATGATTTTACTTACCTCTTGTAAAGCTGTAGAAGAAAGGGGAAAGTAGGAAGTAACTATTAGTATCATTTCATTGATCAATAACATTAATTAACAAATAGATACATAAGTTTATAAAATTCAGTTACCTAATTAGAGGAGCAATTAGTTTTTTATGAAGAATATTCTAATGACTTGGAAATTATGCAGGTCAAAAAATGTGGCAGGGATCAGCAGGATGATTTGCTTGCAATATTAATATGTAAATATATTTTGAATTAAATGGTTAATTATTTACTATTTTATAAATGCTGTGAAATATTAATGTGTTTGAAGGATATTTCTAATGCTTAGCAATTAAGCTGGAAATTGCATGTATGAATCAATTACTATAAGGCAAGACTAGTAGATTGATGAGGAAATAATTTATGGTTTAGTTCATTTTTAATAAGTATAATCCTAAGGAAAAATGTAGGAAAGTATGTTATGTAAAGCAGACTTTATTTTTTATAAAACATTGAAGTTACTTAGTATTTCACTAAGTTTGTAACATTCTTAATGTCCTTTTTCAAAAGGTCTAATTTGCACATTAGCAACTATAAAAGTGGATTAATCTAGACATTTGAATTTTTGCTTTAAATTAGTTCACTTAAATTAGGTAAGGTCATTTTTGTCCTGGAGGAAAGATTGCTTTGTTCAAATGGAAAATTGTGGATTAAAGATCTTGAAAAATAATGGGAAAATAAAGTAACGCCCACCCCCTTTGCTATAATTGCTATAAGTCCTTAAAGACCAAATTCCTTTTTCTACAGGAATGCGGGCTGCAAATATGGCTAAGCTTGCTATAGGATGAATCACCCTTAAAAATTGCTTTAATTAGGTGACCAAGAAGTGTATCATTTAGAGTGAGAACATCTGTTGCAATAGTCACAATTCATGAGGGTGGACCACATCCAGTACTGATAGTTAAGGGCAATTTATGAGAATTACTGTTAAATCAGAAAAATAAAATGTTTAGTTCATTGTGTCCATCAGTAGGAAGAATAATTATGCCTGATTTGATTAACAGAAACCTTCAAGATTTTAGAGATTTGCTTTCTAGTTACTCAGATGTGAGCCAACTTGAAGAATGTATGTTTGGTAACGTTTACTCCAGAAGGTGGTTGGCTGTTGATTAGAAGGTGAGTTGACATTTACGCCTTCAAACTTCCCTAAGTTTGTGTGCAATTTTTTCTTGTAGGAGTCAATTCTTCCCTTCCACTCTCTGATCTCATAAAAAGCTAACTTGGTAATGCAAATTTGTTCATTGCAATTACTTCTTCATATCCTCAACATGTACACTATAAGCAGGCAAAGGGAACACACAATACACACAGATCCATAATTATGCAGTGGTACACTCCGCGGCATGTGGGCGGGGCAAGTTTTTGAAGTCTTGTGTGGCCAGGTACCCCCTCATCTCCTATCATGATAGTCAACAGCTTTGTTTAGTAATTAGGCAACCATTTTCAGGATGAAAATGGACTGATTTTCTTCATTGCATCTTAACATGGAAGTCTGGTCATAAAACCCAGAACTAGAAAGTAGCCTTTGAGTCCATTTGACTTCCATCTCATGTTTTAGAAAAGGCCCAGTTTGACTTGGTCAAGGTCACGAGGTAAATGAGTGACAAATTCATGGGAAGAACTCTGGTCTCCTGGGTCTCATGGCAAGGTTGATACTTCATAACTTGCTGTGTTCATGTTTGAGTATCTCTGGGACCATGTTGAAGGGGTAACTACAAGCTCAACAAAAGGTAGAATAGATTTTAGTTAAATGTTACCATTTCCATTACCAGATAATTAATTGAGAAGCTAATTTGACTTTTCAGAAGGTAAAAGTAGCATTTTAAGCAGCACCCTTTCCAAAATACACTGAGTAGCCACTGCGAGTGGCTCTAGCTAGCAATGTGCAAACCTGTGGAGTCTTTTACTTAAGTTACTTTTAACTTAGCATTAGCTAAGGCCTGGTCCCCTGTGCTTTCATTTTCCTCCCTCCAGAGGGAGCCTTCTCACCATCACCACCACCACCACCACCACCATCATCACCACCACCATTGTCATCGTCATTATCCACACCAACTCTGACGCCCAGAAGATAAAAGTTTGGGGGTTGTGTGTGGATGTGTGAGTTTTATATAGCTGAATTAAAGCGCTTGCTAAGCCAGGCCTCAATTTTTACAAAGGGGTCATGAAAATGATTATGGGGCCTGATGGATGGAGGCCCCTGAGTTTCCTCACCAAGTCAGTTGTTAAGACTCCTTCCTTAGGCAAAGGACTTTGGCTCCCTATGTCCGTCACTAACCTTAAGAGAAAAAGTTCCCTAACTTTTGGAGAGAGTCAAGCCTTTGATGATTTTATTTTTAAAGTACTTCCCATGTTTCTTATTAATTCCAGCATTTCTCCACATGCCAGAGAGTCTTCTTCCAAGCTGTAGCTGGAATTCAGATTTAGATTTTCCTTTTTTTAGACCTGGGTCCCCACCCATCTAACCTCTCTCCCCAAACAAGCCGAAGGCACTTACATTGGCAAGTTGCTAGGCACGAAGTTACTGCAAGCAGCAACAGAGTCCGCGTGTCCACAAAGCTGAGCATGTCTACCACTTCGACATGCAGACTCCTTGTGTCGCAGAGCCCTTGGGTCACCGGCTGAGGTTATCACCTGGCGGGAGCAGGCATGCAGTCGTGGCCTGTGCCTCCAATTTAGCCGAAACCTCCTGCTGCCGTGGTGCTAAAATAATAAAGCCCGGATCTGCCCTATTTATACGGCAAAAGTTTCCCTGGCCCGAGGGTGCCTCCAAAAGCGCCTCCACCAATGGGAGGGCTGGGGTTGGGGGCCCGGGCGGCCACACTGGGAGGAGACTGCGGGGGCGCAGAGGAGGGAGCAACTGGGGGGGGGGAGGGACGTGGCCACGGGGCTGGCTTCTTAAATTGGTTCCATTCTTTTTGAGGACGTGGACACTTTTGAGGCTTTCAAGGGGAAACTCTGACTCGCTGTCTGCATACCTCCACCCTCCCCATCCCCCGCCCCCCCCCCAGGTCCGTTCCAAGTTTGGAAATACTTTTGGACACGTCGGAGCGCTTTGCAGACACCGACGTGGGCAAATTTTGAGGATCTCCGAGCTGTCAAGCAGCTCTCGAGGCACCTGGAGGTCAAAGCAGGAGCTGTCCAGCCCTGCTTCACCTTGTGCCCTGCGGGACACCTGCAGGGTGGAGGGGGCTGGGCGGGAGCGGAGGGGTCCCGGCAGGCGCAGAGGGGGATGGGGAGGAAGGAGGGGAAATCCGACAGCGTGGCGCAGCCGAGGGCCGCCCTCCGGGCCGCCTCCACCCTGCACCCCACCTCATCCCCGCCCCCATCCAGCTTTTCTCCAACTTTGGGGCGTGTGTGCCCGCCTTTTCAGCTCTCTCTTGCTCTCTCCCACTTCTTCCTTCCCTACTTCTCTCGTCTCTCTCTCCCTCTACTTTCCCCCCTCTCCTCTGTGAAATGGTGGGGTGGGGGCCCCAACCCGAGGACTTAGTGCTGGGGAGCAAGTGAGGGGCACCAGAGAAGATAGGCTTCCTGTTCACAGGACTAGACCGCGCCATCTGGGAAGTCTTCTCACCTCCTGGTTTGCTTCTGCTAAAGCGAATTCCAAACTGCATTCTGGGAATATCTTGGGACTGTCTGGCCCTACAACATCACTGCAATTAATCCGGAGACCCCGACCTCATTTCCTCACTCTCTCCTTTTGAGGAGAATCTATCCCCTTCCTGTTTCCAAGACTTCTCCATAGACTTCTTGTCTGAATTTACCAGTTCTATTCTGAGCCTACACCCAGATAACCGTCCACTGAGCCCCCAGTCACTCTTGACCTTGCTACCCATTCACTGACCCTTCCTTTACAGCCAAAGCCGGAGCACCTGTCTTCATCCTTGCCCTTTCCCCACCCAGGAGAAAACCCATAAGTTAGATCTAGATGATCTTCTGCATTTGTGGTATGCATGGCACGGCATACTGTCCAACGTGGGAGGGAGTTAATTATCTCCCAGAAACCCAATCTCCTTTCTTTGCCTCCGTACAACTCTCTACTCTCCATGAGGAAGGAGGAGACAGAACCTTGACCCTGAAGCAGTGGAGTGGGAGGTCAGGGCTCCTGAGAGTCTTGAAACACTGAATGTTCTCTTCCAAAGCCTTTGGGGATGTCATTCCAGGACCTGGGTGGGAAGGCTGTGGGTCCCAGGCTTCTCCTTAGCCTGTCAGGTATCCCTAATGAAGCAGTAATGGAAGTGATTACAAAGGGAGCATCTTCAGGTCAATTCTGTTTCTGTGAAACTGAAACCAATCTTTCGTCAGGAATTTTCTTTTCTCTTTCCCCCACCTCCTCCCTTTTAGCTTTCTGTAGGGAAGAATTTCTGCTTGTTAACTCCATCAGCAGCTCTTATAAACCAAAGAAACTGGATGCTATTAAACCAGAGGTTCTTCCTAGACTTAAAAGAAAGGAAAAAGCTAATAGATATAAAAGAGAATTACTAAAAACAACAGTAAACTTATTTTATTCTTGTTAAAGGCACTGACTTGAGAGACAACTTTAGAAGATCTGTTGAAATAACTTGGAGTAAAAGAATTTTAAAGGGTGTCTGGTCAGTTCTAGGAGGGTATCTATGGGGAGGAATCCATAGTCAAATTTGTTCCTAACTAGGAAAAGGTGACAGAAGTTTTATATGCTCTAACAACAGCAAAATGCTGAGTTTGAATTGTGTATTCTAAGAACATTTTTCTCCTTTCCCCAAAATATTGTCATTATAGAACTAATCAAAAACTTTCATAGTGGGAATTACTTTTATCAGGAAAGAAAAACATCAAAACTGCACAGCCAACTGTTTTATTTCCTCCATTAATCAGAAGAGTGAGTTATCATTCTGTGCCACTGTGCTGAGTTGCTTTGCAGATCACTATTTGTGCATTTGTCTTATGTTGCTGAACGTCAGAGATTACTTCTGAATAAAATGGCTCAGGTAGGTAAGAAAACAGATTTATGAAAGAAACCTTCCACGTGTCCTTCTGGGAGGTTATCTGGTAATGCTTTCTGGGGTCAAGATAGCCAAATCATTGGATTTGTAATAGGTATCCAAGACTGGAGTGTTTATTTGTGGGTTTTGTTGTCAAAATAATCTAAAACGTAGAGCATCATTTGAAAGTGCATTATACTTCCACTTTTAGCAAAAAAGAAAAATCCTCAGCTAGTTTTTGGGAATTAGAAAAATAGTTTAAGCACACTGAGGAGGGAGACATCTCTGCTAAGGGCAGAAGAGAGAACTGATAACTTGAAAAGCATTCCTGGAAACTGATGCACATACCAAGTGCTTCTGGGCTCCCTCCCTGCTGATGTGGCAGAGTTGGAAGCAGACAGTCAGTTGTCAGCCTTTGGTGGGAGGCCCTGGATCTAGACTCAACAATGAAAATGGAGAAACCGGAAGGAGAATTTTTCTTTAAGTAGAAGACAGGTTCCAATTCCAGCTGTTTTTAGTATAATTTTGACTTTCTTTCTCTTAGTGATCACTTCTTGTGCAAGATAGTCCTTGAGATGTTTGTTTTAAAGGAGGAATTCTTTAATGCTTACATCTAGATCTCCATTAAATATTTTGTGTTTCCCAATAACAAGAAGTGTTTTGCATGGATGGGGGTGGGACTGAAGAGCTGGAATTGCTGATCCAAAGCCTGAAGTGAGCATGCTAGTTTTGGCCTGGATGGTACAAGGGAAGAGGGGAAGGAGAGAGCAGAAACTGAGTAGGAGGAAAAAGGAGTAGGGAATGGGGTGGGGCCTGGGTTGAGTGTGGAGAGGTGGGAGAAGGGAAGGAGGAGAGGCTATCAAAGACATGTGTAATTTTGCTACTAGATAGTTAACATTGCTTCCTGTTTCCGTATCATTCTCTGATGAGAGAAAAGCCTGCCTCACAGCTTTCCAAACCTACAGATTGCAAAGTGGACCACACCTTTAGGGAATACAAGAGAATGCTTGAGAGTCTGAGGGACAAAGGAATGCTGCGGGAGAGCCTGAGAAGGCCAAGCTGTCTGGCACTCAGATTCCTCTCTGATACAAGTCACTCATCTGACTGACATCTCCTTTTAAACTTTTTTCAGGATGCCCTCTGAGGATCCACTCTCTGAAAAGCACCAAAATGATATTCTCTTGTTCTGGTTCTAGTTGAGGTGTTTGCCAAACAATCACTAAGAAGGCATTTGCGATAATTAAGGTGGTAGCTGAGGTTTGAGGGCTGACTTCTTTCTGCTGTTTGTTGGAAGGCTTGGAGAGGTCAGTTCACAGAGTCGGGCTGTTCCCACTCCACATCGTATCAACTAGGACGTGCAATTCTCATTGATTATTTAAATAGAACCACATATCCTTTCACTCAAGTAATATCTAGCATTCTACCAGGCACTGTACTAGTTTGTGGAACCAAATGCGAAGCAGCAGAATGACATGGTTATTGCCCTCAGGGACTTTATAGTCGGCTAGGGGACAGACACTAATGCAGTGAGTATTGGTAGGTTTATGGGAGGATTTAAGATAGACGCTTAATCTAGATTTAGGTGGGTTTGTTGGAGACTGTAGCATCCTTGTTTAAGACTTGATTATGAAGAGATTTCCTTAAAAAATAGTAGGAAGACGGCATGGTGGTATATTCCTGTAATCCCAGGTTTTAGAGGCTGAGGCTGGAGAATTGTGTGTTTAGGGTTGGCCTGGACTACAAAATGAGACCCTGTTTTAAAAAAAGAAAGAAAGAAAGAAGAAAGAGAAGAGGCACAGAGGCATTAGAAAATTTGGCAGTCTGCATGAAAAGCATTTTGTCATGAGGCAAAGGGTGGGGAGGAAGAAGGAGCAAGAGAGGACATTGGTGGATTCAATAGGAACCAGATCAAAAGGACCTTGTAAGCTGTATTCTGGTGTTTGTGCTTTCCTGACTGTGCTGTAGAAGTGTTGGGATGATTTTAAGCACGCCATGTGCTTAAAAAGTACGCCACAGGAGAGAGCGTGCTTTTAAATTGATGACTTTGTCTGCAGTCTGGAGAAATGATCAGAAGGAGAGCACAGCAGAGATGGGAAACCACCTTGGGGGGCTGTGGCCATAATTCTCAGGAAAACAGTGGTGGCCTGGCCAGGGGAGTGGTGGTAGAGTTCAGAGAAGCTGTTGAGCTTTAGAAACACTTCAGAAGTAGAAGAAAAGCACTCTAAAGTTTGATTGTGGAAACTGAGGGCTAGGGATGACTCTAGGAGCATGGCTGTCTGGAGGTACCCTCCACTGAGTTGGGAACATTTGAGGAAGGCACTGCTGTGGTGAGGGAGGGGAGGATTAAGAGGTCAGTTCACTTGGATGATTATGGGCCATCCATGTGGATTGGTCTCATTGATAATATTTAGGCTGGAAATACACAATTTATACTTGGTCTTGGTTTATGGATCAGAGTCTAATGATTTCTGATGTTGTAGGAGTGGACAAAATCCCCCAGGTTGTATGTACGTATAGAAATAAGAAAATAACAAAGTCTAGAACAAAACCCTGATGAGTTCCTGCTTATAAGGAGTAAGAGAAGAGAAAAACCATCCAGAAGATCAAGAGGAGAGGTACATGGAATGGAGGGAAACCATAATGTCCACATCACAGAAGGAAAGGGAGCAGGTGTTTTGGAGGTCGGAGAGCACAATTTTTGGGGTACAGGAAAGTTTCCTGTTTTTCTGAGAGATCAAGTAAAAG